CCCTGAGGAGCCATTGTATCGGTTATTGTCTCTGTTCGCTCCTTCCTTCTGTGTTTCCTAAACTGGGAGACCTAACATAAACAATAAACAACAAAGACAAAATGAAACAGAAAGAAGAAAGGAATAACAATCATATGCTGTAAAGATAAAAATAAGGCGTAAGAAAGAAATACCGACAATATTTTAAAAGCCAGAGAAGAAATTTCTATCGTGGAATAAGCAAGACATATTTAAGCCCAGAGCAAATTTAGGTCAAGAGGGAGGTCGATTGGCCAAGGATCCACCAGAATCAAGTTTATGGTTGTCTCTGTCTGACAGTACAGCTGTTTGAGACCCTCGCCTGTGGGCAGAGGGGATCTGCCGAGGGCTTACTCTGACTACAGCAGTGGTTCTCAACCTTCCCAATGCCACGACCCTTTCATACAGCTCCTTGTGTTGTGGTGACCCCCCAACCATAACATTATTTTCGTTGCTACTTCATCACTGTCATTTGGCTACTGTGATGAATCGGGCGACCCTGTGAACGGGTCGTTTGATCCCCAAGGGGTCGTGACCCCCAGGTTGAGAACTGCTGGACTAGATACTCTGTAGATGGGTTTTAAATTGCCGCTGTCCTCTGTAGCCTTCAAATTGGACGTTCACAAGTTAAGCTCTGATACGTTTCCCTTCATAATATTTGGATCTTGCTATTTCCATCTTTGGATCACACAGGCTGGTGTGCTTCTTCCATGTGGACTTAGTTGATGCCTCACTTAGAAGGCTGCTTGGTTTGAATACAAGCCTTTAACACCCCAGACACTGTTCGATTGATAGCCGGGCACCATCTGCTTTCTTCCCCACACTTTGCTGCAGCGCCCTGATCTTCAGCGATCACTTCATGAAGGCAAGTATTGAGCAGGGCCATGTTGTAAGAACCAACTCTTCTTGGATTGGGGCTAGAGTTCAGGGGGAGCCCAGAATCCATCTGCTTTTCCATGGGCTATGAACAATTCTGGTTTACTTTGGCGATCATTTTATGACAAAAACTCAAAAGAACAACAACCAAAGAAAACAAAAACAAACAAAGGCATAAATGAAAAGAACCCTCCTACACGCACACACACACACAAAGAAAAACATCCCCTGAAGTACAAGGCGACCGCACTGGCAGCATCAGTAGCTTCTCCGATGTCACGGAGTTTAAGGTACTGTTGGCAAGAGGAGTCCATGCAAGTGCGGTCCAGCTGCAAGCTGCATACCAGGTGATGCTGCTTTGTACAAATTCCTTTTTATTAAAAGATCATGTATAGCTCTTATAACCATCTATACATCAATTGTATCAAGCATATTTGTACCTAGTTGCCATCATTATTTTCTAAACATTTACTTCCTGTTGAGCCCCAGATTGATTTCTTAATTGAGTAAGCTCTGTCTACATTGAGCATGGGTGTTGGTGGTAGGGGAAATTTTCCTGTTACATGTCTTACACGAGCAGACCCTTTCCTATCAGATTAATACTTGTCATATTAATGTAAGGGGAGCATTGAGGTACTAAATGTATGGTGGATCTGGGTCCCCTTTCATCCGACGCCCCCTAAGCCAGGAGTCCCATCTAAGGCCCAATGTCTGCCCTCTACACAGTCCTGGGGTGGCCGTCTTCAGCTTCGTCTCCCATGTGGGCATTTCAGTCCAAACTCCATGGACTACAGGTAGTTTTGAGGTAGGACCCAGTTCATTCTTTTGGCCTTCCACATGGAGGCCTTCTGATGTGGCCCTTGGAGGACGCCACATTCCCTGTAAAGCCAGTGTCTAAAGTCATGCTTAGTCCACAGTGTGGTTTACCGAGGGTTGGGTAGAAACTTATTCAAAGTGTCTCCCCAGGAACATAGAAGTGATTTCCTTCTCCCTTAGGTTCCCTACAGCTACTGTCTAGCATTCCTTCCCGGTGTGGGCAGAAATGAGAGGAGAACCTTACTGGAAAAATCAATTAGCTTGTTGTTAAAACCTGGTTTTAACAATTGGCGGGGGCCAGGGGGAAGCGGCAGCATCTACATTTCTGGTGGTGGGCATGGGGGGTGAATGGGGAAGAACAATCCCTGGCTTTTGGGAGGGATTTTGGAAGGCAGAGACCATGGCTCATAACAAGAGGTCTTGGCACAGATAGAGCTCGGCTCCAGGGGAACCATCACTCCAGCCCCATTGCCTCAGCACAGCCTTGCAAATCATCTCTAGATTAAAGCCACGTCCTTCCATTTCATATGATCTCAGAAAGATGTGCTCGTTGCTGAGATAAGGATTACTAGAGCATCCTCACCAAGACCCACACTTGCTCTGAACCACTGATCCTGTGGTTAGCATTCCAACATGTATCTGACAGTACCACCAGGGATCCTTGGGCTGGGCTCAGAGACCTGGGTCGGAATCTCGAGTCTCGGAAGACAGTGGAGCTCACCAGGCTGTAGGGCAGGGATACACTGACTGGAGGCGGTCAGCCCCAAACCCCACCTGCTGCTGTACGGTCCATCCCGACTCCTAGAACCCCTACAGGACAGAGTACTGCCCCCTATGATGTTCAAGGCTGTGTGATCTTTGCAGAAGGAGATTGCTGTCTCCAGGAGATTCACGGGTGGGTTTGAACCGCTGACCTTGTGGTTAGCAGCTGGGCACTTCACTACCGTGCCACGAGAGCGCCTTAGGGTTGGCTCACGCCCTTCCAATCCTTTGAGCTGGTGGAAAATGGGCAGCTGAGGCCACCATCGCTGTCCTTCGAGGGGGCCCATGTCTCAGCTGGTAATGAACGCCCCCAAAGAGCCAGTTGGTTCTTGAGTTCAGGTCTCTCTCCTTGGGCAGAAGCCCCCGGGTGGTCGTCAGGAGAGCGGTGACAGCAGCAGTCCGCAGACATCAGGAACTCACTGTTCTGTAGCTTCAAACCACTGCACTGTTCCTCCTTCCAGCCAGGTGCTTGTCCCCACTGGTCCCACTGGACAGAGAAGGAAATGGAAGCTCAGAGGGTGGCACCTGGCCTGCCTGACTCCAGGCCCCAAGCCTGAGGGCTAAATCAGGGTTGGACAAGGCACGACTCCTCATGGCACCTCTGAAGGTGATCATCAGCACCACTTCCCCATGGCCCAGTGGGCTCACACGTCATCAGTCTCAGCCAAGCTCTTCCTGAATCTCTTGGGCTAGAGGGTTTGTCTGAAAGGGCCTGGATGGTGGGCCTGGACTCCCCTAGCTCCCCGGGCAGCCTTGCAGCCTGCCTCTCTGAGCAAAGCAACAGAGTCGAGGCCTGGGGGCAGGGGTGGGGGGCTTTCCTCCAGGCTCGTCCCTCCCTTCTGGGGCCGGCTAGCTTTTTGTGACCCATTACTTCAGGGCAGGCCCACCCGGAGGTGAGAGAGCTCTTCCCAGGAGTATCAGCTCATTTCCAGAGCACTTGCTGGGCCAGGGGCTTCCCACCCAGCCTCTTCCTTCCTTCCTGCCACCTGGGCATGATACTGAGGGTGAGAGAGAGGCAGGAGAGGAGGGAGCTCCGTGACCTGCCTCCCAGATCCATTTATAGAAGGGGGCCCACTGAGACTGTGAGAGGAGGCCCCAGACCCATCGGTGGAAAGAGGTCTCAGCGCTGTCCATGTGCGTGAAGACCTCTTTGTGAAACTCAGATTTCTGTTCTCAGTGCCCCACACAAACACAGGCCCCTGGGCTATGGAAGGTTGGTTCCAGGGTCAACAGCTCAGTCTCCCTAAAGGTGTCAGCCTTCCTCTGGTCATCTCTGATCAATCTACCAGTCAAGCAAGGCTCATGGTCACTCCTAACTAGTGGTCAGATCAATGGGCCCTTGGTGGATCCTAATTACGAACAATATCATTGAGTTAGAGCACGCTGGTCCCCCTTCCCTCACCCACCCCCACAAGTCCTCCGCACCCTACATCTGTCTCCTAGGGCTCTCCTAGGAGCACGGAGACAGGTGCGGGGAGGTGCTGGTGTCCCAGGCATCCCTAGATCTTGTGACAAGAAGTGTGTCCCATTGGCCAGTGGACACAGAGCCATCATGGGCAGGCTGTGACTTGAGCCATCACTCTGGACTAGTGGGGGAATCCTCTGAAGGACCCTTGGCCAGTGTACCCCAGACCCTGCCCGGAGGGGTGACTGCATTTCCAAAGGGCCTTGGAAAAGTGATGCCTGTTGTCCTCACTGGTGACAAGTAACTTCTATGAAGCCAGCTGTTTCAAAACAAGGGTGTGTGTGTATGTGTGTCCGTCTTCTGGGTTTGGGGCAGGGAACGATCCTCCCCACCCAGCTCTGACCTCCAACCACATGGGTGATAGGGGACAGGCAGCACCACCTCGGACTGTAACTGCCAGCAGAACCAGCTGCTAACGTCCCTCACCCACTCCTCTGAGCAGATATAGAGATGTTTTTAATTCCACCAGCAGGTGCTTTTGAAATGCCTGCATTGCTCAGAGATCCCGGGTTGTATCAAGTTCGGGCGGAACTTTCGTTTCTCCTTCTGAAAATTAGAACTGATGACCCTGACCCTGTGAGCCCCTGGGGGAAGTTGGAAAGACGCGAGGGAGGCCATGCTGGCCGGAAGCCCCTGTAAAGTAACCTGTGCCCCACCCGTCCTTTAGGAAGCATTTGCTGGGCGCCTGCTGTGTGCACAGAAGGAAATAGCCCCCTGCCTTACAATCATTTCCAGGGTTAGGCTCCATGACGGTGTCTGCAGCCCCTGCGCCCAGGCACCAACTCCAGAGAGAGCAGCTCCACCTCCCCTCCCTGCCTCCTCTGGGCGGGCAAAGCCTCTAGCCAACTTGGATTTCGGTGGCCATGGAGTCAATGCAGGGGCTGATTTTTCCGGAAGGAGATCACCAGGCCTTTCTTGGGAGGCACCCTGCAGGTGGACGAGAAGCCCCAACCTTTCAGCTAAGAGGTTGGGATGGTAACCAGGGGCACCCACCCAGGGCCGCCTTGGCTGATTCCGGAAAGGAGTTTCCTGAGGCCCGGCCTTCTTCTCTGCTTCTGCCCAGCTTTCCTCGGAACTGCGCCTTTTTGGAGCGGGACCTGGGACAGGGCTTACTGCCGCTCTTCGTGTGTCTGCGTCTTCACAACATCAACAGAGGCAAGTCCCCCACCCCTGCAGCTTCGCCACAGCCTCCTACACCCACCCACCCACCTCCTCAAAGGGTACGAGTACCGAGCTCTCTCATCCCAGCGGGGACACAGCTCAGTGTCCGTGTCCTTGTCTGTGAACTGGGAACAGCGGGGTTTCCATGAAGGTAGAGAGGGGCTGACCGGATGGGCAGCAGGACAGCTCGTGGCTGGTTGGAGGCCACTGGGGTGCACAGGTGGGCTTGTGAGGGGAGCAGAGGCAGCTGGGATCCCTCTAAGCAGCACTCTGGGCCCTGTGAGCAGGAAGGCAGAGGGAATGGGGGGATGGAAGACCACCAATGAGACCTTTGTGTTGACAAG